ACCACTAAAAAAATCAGAGGCCCTGGTAGTATTCTGCTAGTGCATATTAGGAAATAAGATAATATATTGATAATCACAATATTTGGGAGTAATATTACCAAGCATAACCCTTACCATAAAATCACAATGATATACAAGTACCAGAGATATTACAGAGCCTGGAAAGAGGCAGGGTTCTCTGACAAGTGCTCCAAAAGGCCAATCATATTTCTGAATTACTTCCCGAAGGTACTGAGGTCTAAATTATTTTAAGAGTGGAGGTTTGAATTTTAAGGAAGAAATTTTAGCAACCTGATGAGTTAAAAGGACTACAGGAAATTTAAAAATCAACCTCTTCTCATTCAAGCATGCATAACTGACAAGAATTGGCTGGGAGGGCTGGCGTTGTGGCATAGTGGGTAAAGCCACTCCCTGCGATACCAGCATCCCATAGGGGCATAGGTTCAAGTCCTGGCTATTCCACTTCCAATCCAGCTCCCTACTACTGTGCCTGAGAAAAGCATCAGAAGATATCCTAAGTCCTTGGACCCCTGTAGCTACATGGAAAACCCGGAAGAAGCTCCTGGCCTGGCTAGTGCGTGCTGTGCCCTGGCGTTTGCTGCCATTTGGGGAGTGAACCAGTTGATGCAAGATCTCTCTCTGTCTCTGCTTCCAACTCTTTTAAAATAAATAAATCTTAAAAAAATAAAGAATTGTCCGGAATGCACTTAATCTTAAAGTCTTATCAGTAAGATGGTATGGTAGAAATGTTAGTAACATAAGACTTGAGCACTTAAAAATGTATATAAATCAAAATAAAAGGACTTAAATCAGAATAACCATTTACTTTATTCCCCTGGAAATTATCCATAAATAGGTCTTCCACAGTATGTCCTGTGTGTAGGATGTACTTGTGTATGCCCTGGAAGGGTATGTGTACATGGGGGTATGTGTATGTGGACTATTAAAGATTACTCTGGGTTTTAATCTCCTTAACAACAGCACACTATAGTATTCAAGTAGTGCTGCTCATGCAACCCCTGTACTGTATCTTGGCCATTCTTAAGCGCAAAGGAATAAGCGAACCTGCTCTGGGAGAAGATGAGACTCTCCTGAACACAGTGCCACAGATCCCCCCCCTCCTCCCCCCTCCCCCCTCTCCCTCTCCCCCTCTCTCCCTCCCTCCCTCTCCCTCCCTCCCTCTCCCTCTCTCCCTCCCTCTCCCCTCTCCCCCCCCTCTTTCCCTCCCTCTCCTTCCCTCTCTCTCCCTCCCTCCCTCTCTCTCCCCTCTCCCCCCCCTCTCTTTCCCTCCCTCTCCTTCCCTCTCTCTCCCTCCCTCTCCCCCTCTGGAACCCGGAAGCACAGGGATTGAGGGACAGTGAATGGAACCACCTCATCCAAAGGACCCTGCCGCTATTTCTTCTCTACAAAGACCCTGCCTGGGTAATGATGATGGGATTAATCAGCCTGGTGGAAGGAAAATCATTCTGGGTACTGAGACTGACAGTTTCAAATGTACTACATCTTCATGATGACATCCTAATCTGTGAAAATAGAATATAGATCTAGTACTCATTTGCATCCTCTCATCAGAGAGTGTACCTCTATCAGCAAAGATGCACTCGAATCTCCTAAAACAGAAATACCTGAATCTCTTTCTAATCCCTGACTGGTGTGAAGGGGAGATTTTCTTTCTTCATAAACACCAGCAGGTAATTCTGACCTCATGGATGGTCCTCAGAGCTCAGACCATTCAAGTCCTATTTCTGACAGTCTGGTTGTAAACAGTACAACCTACAATGATGGCAACAGAGTACAGCTTCTTTCTTAGACAATAAGCTGGGCATTCTGCCCTTTTATTACATGCCCTTATGACTCCCTCCTCCTGGTGTTAATAGTAAACGCTTAAATATTCTGTGTAGGCAATTGTTGAGGTGGAAAAAGAAAGGAACTCTAATGCAAGTATCCATACCTTCAGCAATGAAAACAAGATATTATTGTCTGGTGCGACCTTTCCTAAGTACGGGATACAGCATTTTACACAATAGTTTCTTGGTTCATGCTTCAATTACTGACCTTTACTGTGCAGAAAATTAATGCAATTTTCATTGTAATCCATCCGTACAAATAAGGTCTACACGGAAGGATTCCACCTATGGAATCTAATACAAATAGGAAATGTCAACTGATTACCGTTGGCTGAACTTCGCCATTATCTGTTTGTTCTGGGGTCCCTAGCAAACCATACTTGTAAGAAGCAATTTCTAACGTGTGCCATCAGGTATAAGAAAGAAGGATTTCCTCTCTTCCAAGTTGAATCTATATATTTCATTTCTTAAAAAGCCAAAAAACTAGTTACCTGAAAGCCCTATGTTACCAATGAATGCCCACAGAAGAAAAGAAGACACAATTGTGAAGTCTAATCTGGTTTTTAACACAGATTACATCCAGGACTTCTCACATGGAGAAGGAACAAGAGGCCGCAGTGGTGTCATTTTACAGCCATCTCTGTTCCAGACAAGAAATTATGACAGACCCCAGACTAGCCCTGGTCTGCATGGGAGAGGCAGACAGACGATGGGGATGCGCCTGTCTCCTGCGGAAGCTGTGCCAGGGCACGGGGGCAGGCTTGCATCCCCCGCCACTGCCTGTGATGGTATTCAGTGGGAAGCCGTCCTGACAATAAAAGAGTGTCACTTCCAAGATGGATCGCTGGGTTATAAAGCAGCTTCTCCCCTTTCCTGGTTCTGCACAAAACGACTGTGTGTTTATAATCTGTAAGCAACGCGTCTCTTTCTGGGTGTGTTACACTTCCCAGAAGCATTGTCTGCCATGTCTAACACACAACAGAAGCCGGAGTCTCCGTGGATAAGACCTCCCGACAGCCCTCTATGGCAGGGGTCCCCTGTCACTGTGTGTCTAAGTCTATGCCGAGTGCATCTCAGGGCAAGGGGCTCCTACACATGAAGAAATGCTGCGTTGTAAGACAGGGTGCCTTTTAAAAGAGCCAAAGGGAAAATGGACTTAACAGACATTAATTTGGTGCACACTCTTTGAAATCCATGCATAAATTTTTCACATTATTAATTTCCCAAAACTTTTTGAAGACCCCCTCCCACAGATGTGGATGTGGAGTTGTGGAGTCTCAACACCGAAAACTCCTCCTTTGGTTCACAGACCTCCTAGAGCAGAGAGAGTAGACACAGACAAAGACTGAGAAATCGGTCCGTCTTCCCAGCCACAGATGCACTTGTTTAGTAGAGGAGGTATAATAAAAGTCACAATTTCATTTTAGAGGATTTCCTCTATCAGATTTCATCAGAACATCAAACTGAAGGAGCAAAACCACCATGGTTGTGCTTTGGCTGTGAAGGCGGCTCCACTGAAATACGATGATAAGAACATCTCATGAATGAGACTGCCCTGAAGGGCATGAGGGGAGCCCTGGCGCCTGCCCTCAACAGGGACAGAGTGGCACAGATGTTGTGTGCAGGACTACTCCAGAATGAACGCCTCAGACCCCAGACTCACCCCTGTGTCTGCTGCAAACACTTTCCTTAGTGCTTTGCTCACAGCCTAAATGGCCCTGGGTTACCGGACACGTGGAGGAGCTGGGAGGTGGTGGCTGGAGATGCCATCAGAGCCTGCACCACCCTCCCAACCTGGCCCACTGCATCTCTTCCATTGGTCTGCTTCTGAATCCTAATAAACAAATGTAAGTAAATGCTCCCCTGGGTTTTCTGAACCACTCTACCAAAGCATCAAACCCACTGAGTGGGCTGCAGGAGTCCCCGGGTTATTCCTGTTCAATCAGAAGAGAAAGAAGCCCAGACCTGCAATCGGGTCCTCGTAGAGATTAAAAATAATGACAAAAGCACTTGTGATTTTCTTTGGTAAACCACCCCATCGTGTACTTTAGCGTGGCTGTGCCTATTAATATTCAATAACTTCATCCTTCATAAATTACTAATATCAATTCATCAAGAATCTTGTGCCTCTTTGACCTCTATTCTGAAAAAGGTTTATTCCCCTGTTAAAAATATTAGACTTTATTATATTATTTTTCTATTAATGATCATCTTAGCACAACAAATAAGATTTATTTTGTAATCCACCCCATTTGCTCCAAATGGGCAAAACCATCTGGTCCACTCAATTAATTTTAAGGCTCTAGGTGCCACGGAGCCAGTGTCTTTGAATTAATTTATCTTCTATGGGCACTTACAGTAGATACTTATGCTTAAGGTTTGCCCTCTTGCTATTTCTCCTCCCACAAGCCCCTTTTATGCCACATCCTGCCCCCATGCCCACACCTTTTAGGGGCTGGAAGTCCACTAAGCTGGAAGCAACTAATTTGGCATTTCGCTTTATTCATTTTATTCCAGAAGGTTTGTCTGAAAGTGTAATGACAACAAAAGCAGCAGATTTGAGAGATTCTCCCAAGAGAAGAAAAGGGACAGATGTACAGAGACATATAGCTGAGCACTCTGCCAGCAACAGCTGGGAAAGTGACAGGCTCGGAAGTGGGGGACCACCCCACAGAGCGCACACGGGAACCTAGAGCAGCAGCAATTTCACTCGATTTACTTTTGACTTCCAGGCTTCCTTTCATCTACAAAGAGGAAGGCTGATCTTGGCCAGTGCCCAGCGGAAGACCCCCTACAGGGATGCCTTTCAAAACATTCCAGTTACTCACTTACGTGTTGCCCCTTCAGCCTCGTTTTTAAAACCTTTGAAAGGGCCAAAGCATCATACTGTATCCTGTGAAGATGTAAAATTACTGTCAATTAAAAAATACCCACGTAAAGTAGGAAAGGCAAGTGCTACTACGATTATCTGCAAAGAGGCAAGCTGATATTAGAACAGTGCCATTTTAAGTAAACACTGTTTTAACTGAAAAATACACTGTTGCTATGCTGCTCACTCTTACAGTAAGAGCAAAAAGAGAGAGGAGACCCCCCAGGAGGGCACTGCTGCCCACACTAACGCTGTTTCCTTCACCCTGTCCTGCGCGAACTCACCTTGTCATCTTCATCCTCCTCATCCTCCAGGTCTGGGGTCTCCTGAAAGGAAACCCCACAGTGTTTTAGTAAAACATCAACCACAGTTGCCAAATGCCAGTGAAACTCACCCACGTTTGTAAGACTTTCTACAGAATGTAAGCATGCGTATTGTTAACGTTCATTATAACCTGTCGAGAAACCACACTTCCGAAGTTCAGAGACCCCACCCCGTGGCAAGTCTGTAAACACCACGCACACTCTGCACGGTGCTGCTGACTGTAAACAAAGCTCGTGGGCAAGTGCCCTTTGAAGGCAGGTGGTTTTCCGGGCGCACTGCGGAGATGCACTGTGTAAACAGTTTTGTTCTCGTTCTGACAAACGAAGCACTACGTCTGTTAAGGCTGACGACACCGTGCAACGCCTGTGCTCAGCTCGTTGTGAGAATGACTGCTCTTTCCCTTTGGGGCCATTACCAAAACATCAGACGAGAGAAAATGCATTTGTCCGAGTAGAATCGATCTGGAGAGTGAGTTCCAGGTTTCTACGTGCAAGTGTTGTTTTCCTTGGCTCTGAGGGTGCCAGCAGGCAGGTGCAGGAAGGAAATCCCAGGCTCTGACCTGAACGTCAAGGTGCCTGGCATTAGCTGAGGGGCTGAGGTGCCTGCAGAGCCGCTAATAGGTTTGGTCAGATTAAATTAGAAAGCTTGGCTATTTGATAGGCAAATTTTAATCATGTTTCAAAACTCACCCAGGTTAACGCACAATCCAAGGGCTTCGGTAGCTCAGAAAGAGCACCCAGCCTTAGAAAACCAGGGTCTATTTTCAGCCAGGACTCCTCCCTTTCTGCTTGACCTTCCCAAGGTCAGGCATGCTGTTTACTACTGCTCCAACAGTAAGAAAAAATTGTCAATATGATGCTCTTAAAAGAGTAATTCAGACGCATCCAGAGAGTACTCCGCTCTACGCCATAAAACCCCCAAGCAATCATCAAGACACTTCTCCCGGGCTGGTGGAGCCTTAGCTCCCAGAATTCTCACGAGCATCAACTAGCACTTTTATGACACTCAGTGACCCTCCAGGGAAGGAACCTATTCACCACTGGCAGCGGGCACGGCTCATGAAAACCAATAGACAAATAGCAACAGAATGAAAGTAGGTTACAGCAGAAAATACACTGTAATTATGAGGTAGAAGTCTTCAGAATGAGACACGGCTCCACACTGCTGTGCTCTGTGACTCCAGGCAAAGCATTTTGCCACTCTGAGCCTTACTTAACCAAGCATAAAATGAGAATAGTGCTCGCACTGTCAGTCACGGTGCCAAGATCAAATTAGCGAACGGATTGAGTGTGTCAATAAATTAAAAGGCTTTACACACACACATGCACATTTATATACAGATACACATAACTGTGTATACATACACACAAATGTACTATACATGCTGTAAACATATATAGTGGGAAAAAATTTGTAAAAATGTTAGTTGACTGTGTTATAATTATTTAGCAGGAAAAATTCCTTCATCTAGCTCTCCATGTAATGTTTTTCTTAAATTAACCTAAACTTTAAATCCATTCACTTCTATTGCTATATACTCTGCATATTGCATTAAGTGATCAAACAAAATAGAATCTGGAAGTTGCTTAAGGTTTAATCTCCTGTTAACACTTGCTTTTTTAAAACTTCTCGTGTCCTAAAGAATATCATAAGCATCCATCAAAAATCTGTCTCAAAGATGTCTTTTTGGGGCCAACGCTGTGGCATAGTAGGCTAAGCCTCTGCCTGTGGCACTGGCATCCCATGTGGGCACTGGTTCTAGTCTCGGCTGCTCCTCTTCTGATCCCACTCTCTGCTATGGCTTGGGAAAGCAGTGGAAGATGGTCCGACTTGGGCCCCTGCACCCACGTGGGAGACCCAGAAGAAGCTCCTGGCTTCAGATCTGCCCAGCTCTGGCCATTGTGGCCATTTGGGAAGTGAAACAGCATATGAAAGACCTTTTTCTCTGTCTCTCCCTCTTTTTTTTCTATAACTGTACCTCTCAAATAAATAAATAAAACATCTCTAAAACAAAGGATGTCTTTTTTCCTTTAAAGGAGAAGATTAAGAAAAACAGGCAACAGTGGTCCCCATTCAACTTCTGGGAAACCCCATATGCAGATGATGAACTTTCTAGAAAGGAAATGATTAGGTCTAAAACTTAGAGTTAAAAAAAAATAAAAAGATTTATTTATTTGCATGGAGTGACAGAGAGAGATCATCCATTCAGCTGTTAATTCCCCAAATGGCTACAATGGCTGGGGCTAGGCCAGACAGAAGCCAGGAGCTAAGAACACCATTTGGGTCTCCGTGGGTGGAGGGGCCCAGGAAATTGGGCCAACTTACACTGCTCTCACAGGCATGTTAGCAGGGAGCTGGGTCAGAAGTGGAGCAGCCAGGACTCAAACCAGTGCCTTCCAGGGATGCTGGCCTTGCAGGCATCAACTTACCCTGCTGTGCCACAACATCGGCCCCGAGACCAGAGTGTTTTTGCTTTTGGTTAAACACTTGGTTATTTGATCTAGAATACAAACATTACATCATAAACAAACATATACATTTGAGTTCCTGCCTATCAGGTGCAGGGTACAATCCCCTGGGCTGGGATGAGGGGTGGTGCAGGACAGGAAGGAAGAGAAGGGGGTGCCGGGGGCATCTGGGAAGGCACTGTGCCTGTGATTCCTCCAGTGTCACAGGGAGGGTGAGAATGGAGGGGACTGTGCCCACCCACTCTGATGGCCACGGGGATGAGCAAGCCCTGAGAATATTCTGGGCCATTAGGCCAGGGGAGATCATGGTGTCCATGTGGCAAGGACTAAGCCAGGCCCCCAACCCCACCCCAGTGAGTGCACTGTCTGCTTTACAGGGGTCAGCAGGCCATCAGAGGGTTTTCCCTCAAGGTGGAGAAGGCTGCTCATAGCGACCTCACAGAGAAGCAGATGGCATGTTGCGGGCTGCCAACAGGGACACGATGGGCAAGAACTCCAGGGCTCCCCACATGATAAGGGTCCAGGCCAGGACCCAGGAACACAAGATGCCACTGGATGTGAGCCCTTGGCTGCAAGTCCGGTGCAGGTGCTGCCGCGCCTGTCTCCAGCGAGGTGGACTTGGGACTAGATCTCAGAGTGCTTCCTGGGCATCACCGCCAACAGGTTTTCCACCAGTGAGACCCAGTGCTGGGGCCCCCTGCTTACCTGGCTCTCCTGGATGCTGCTGACTCGGCCTTTCATGGGTCTCAGGAAGTTGTAGACAAACAGCAGCAGCAAAGCCAAGGGGATCATGTACAGCTCGAAGTTCCAGACGGTGACCAAAAACACCTGGGGGCAGACAAACAGGACCGCATCACTGTCTGCTAACACAGTGCTGGAGCAGTCCTGGATTCCAGCTCACTGAACAAGGCCCAAGAACAGTCCCCAGTAGGAAACAGAAGCACACAGAGAGAGGGAGGAACAGAGGATGAAGGAGCGAAAGGGAGAGGGATAGAGGGGGAGGGAGGGAGAGGGAAAGAGGACAGAGGGAGACAGACTGAGATATGACAGAGAGATTCTAATTAATTTGCTTTTGGAACTGCTGGCACAAAGAGAAGACGGAATAGAATGACAGATTGTTTTGTTACCCTTTGGAATAGACTCCAACAGCAGCCTCATTCCTTAGGCTATCAATTCTAGTTTTTCTGCTCATAGATTTTACTGTTCCAGACTTTAGGCAAAGCGAGTACTTCCACAAGCTACTGCTTGCCACGCCGCCATCCCGTATCAGAGCACCAGTTCAAGTCTCAGCTGCTCTGCTTCTGATCCAGCTCCCTGCTGCTGTGCCTGGAGAGGCAGCAGGTGATGAGCCCTGCCACCATGTGAGAGGCCCAGATGGAGTTCCTGGCTCCTGTTCAACCTGGCCAAACACTGGCTATTGTGGCCATTTTGGGGAGTAAACCAAGGGATGAAAGATCACTCCAGCTCTCTCTCCTCTCTCTGCCTTTCAAATAAAGAAATCTTACCCAAAAAAAAAGGAATTTAGGTAAAGCTGTATGGAAAATACCAAGGTCACAAATTTTGCTAATAGTGGGGTTTATCCGAACTGTTAGAGAGTACTATTTAAATTGGTTGCCAATGTTTTAAAAATGTAGATTTTTAGATAAATTCATTAGTTTTAAATCTCTTTAAAAATACTAAAATTTTGGGGGCTGACATTGGTGGTGTAACAGGTAAAACTGCCACCTGCAACACTGGCCGCCTTTATGGGCAAGGGTTTGTGTCCTGGCTGCTCCACTTCCGATCCAGCTCCCTGTTGATGGCCTGAGAAAAGCAGTGGAAAGTGGCTCAAGTGCTTGTGCCCCTGCCACTCAAGTGAGAAACCTAAATGAAGCGTGTGGCCTCTGTCTCAGAATGGCCCAGCCCTGGCCATTGTGGCCATCTTGGGAGGGAACCAGTGGTTGGAAGCTCACTCCCTCCCCCTGCTACTGTAACTCTTCCAATAAACAAACCTTTTAAAAATATATTAAAATGTACCATTTTTGAGACTCTATGGCCATAAGGAAATGATCAGCTAGCACTGTCTACTTCAGACAAGGTGAGTGCACATGACCACTGGTGGATGCTGGAGACTCGAATGCAAATGAGAGGCTGGCTCTGTCTCCAAGAAGCACGCTGACTGGTGCAAACACTAGCACCTGATAATCAGTCTATGAGACACAATGGAAATCTTGGGCAAAGTACTTCAAAACTGAGCCTCACTTTCTCTGTGAACCTGCAAGTAGTCTAGAAGATAAAATTAGCTAATCTGCAGTTATCATCTGCCTGCTCTTAGGCTAAAAACAGTCACTGTTTTATCAGCTTAGAAGAGAAAAATTATTTCATCTGAAATATTGGATATTCCTATCCAGAAGCAATGTCAATTCTTAGTAAGTATATTTTCTAACATTTTATGTATTTATTTTCCTTTATTAGAAAGTCAGAGTTACAGGAAGGGGAGAGAGAGGGCTAGAAGAGAAGAGGGGGCAAGAGAGAACTTTTCATCTGCTGGTTCATGCCCCCAAATATCTGCACCAACCAGGGCCGACCCAGGCCCCAGGACAAAGCCAGGAGCACAGAAGTCCATCCAGTTCTCCTAGGTGGACGGCAGGAATCTAAGGACTTGAGCCATCATCTCATGGGGACTCCAAAAATGCCCGTTGCAGGAAGGAAGTGGCCTGACTGGACCCAACACTTTGCTATTTGATGCAGGTACCCCAAGGGACAGCCCAATCCTCTACGCCATAACACCAGCGCCTCGACGGTTTTAAAATTTCCTTTTTGTAGCTATTACACAATTTGTGCTTATTTTTTTTCTCCAAAGCTATTGTAAATGAGATAATTTCTTCCATTATGTTTTTCAAAGTGGTCATTACCTACAAAGATAAACATACTTCAAGACGTTCTTGGAAACTGAAATTAAAAATAAGTGTAATTTGATACAAAAACTTCAAAATCCATGCACAGTTATTTCACAATATGCATTTTCCACAAACTTTCTGAAGACCCTTCCCAAGCTGATAATTTGTACAGATTAGATTTTCAAAAGAACAAACCACAATGAATTTGTTTATTGTTTCAAATAGTTTTTTTATTTAATTATTCAGGAGTTCTAAGAATATAGTCAGAATATAATCTACAGGTAAGGAGTCTTTCCTAATTCTCCTTTTCTAATTTTTGCAACTCAGTTTCTCGTCCCGATTTCATTGCTCCTGTGAAACAAGGTCAGACAACATCACTGAGAGGGACAACTGACTCACTCCCGACTTAACAAGAAGTCACGTCCAACATCCCATTTTCTACCAGCAGCATGAGGTTGGTTTCTAGTTTGAGCAACACAAATTCCATCACATGAGGAATATACTCCCACACACACCAATTTTAACACTAGAAAATTCACATTTATGTGTCCATTTTTATATCCTTCAACTACTTCACAAAACCCTGTAGTATCTGCTACAAAGCGGACAAAAATATTTTTTCTTTATAATTAATTTATCTATATAAGGGGAACAGATTAAACAGATTTCACGTATTTCAAAAACACTGTTTTGGGGTGGGCACACGTGGTGAAGTAGGCTAAGCCTCCATCGGCAGTGCCCATATGGGCACTGGTTCAAGTCCTGCCTGCTCCTCTTCTAAGCCAGTTCTCTGCTATGGCCTGGGAAAACAGCAGAAGATGGCCCAGGTGCTTGGGCTCCTGAACCCACATGGGAAGCCCAGTGGAAGTCCTGGCTCCTGGCTTCAGATCAGCCCAGCTCCAGCCATTGCAGCCATTTGGGAAGTAAACCAGCAGATGGAAGGCCTATTTGTCTGTCTACCTGTCTGTCTCTGTAACTCTACCTCTCAGATAAATAAAATCTTTAAAAAAAAAAAAAAACTGATATCAAATCTTGAAAATGGCACAAAAGCAAGCAATAGACAGATGCCCTTTACAGGCATAATTACATATTACCAAATACAACATAAAATATAAACGTGGGTTCAGGGGCTCAAGCACTTGGGCCATCTTCTACTGGTTTCCAAGGCAATAGCAGAGAGCTGGATTGGAAGGGGAGCAGCCGATACTAGATCCGGTGCCCATGTGGGATGCCGGCACCACAGGTGGAAGATTAACCCACTGTGCCACAGGACCAGTCCCTATCAGTATTATTTGACACCATAAAAAACGTTAGGGGGTGGGCAGTGGGCCTACTGATTGACACCCATATCCCACATTGGAGTGCCCAGATTGATTCCAACTTCCTGCTAATGTGCACCCTGGGAGACAGTGGTGATGGCTCGAGAAGTCGGGCTCCTGTCACCCAGAGGGCCTGGACTGTTTCCTGACTCCCAGCATCAACTCCAGTCCAGGGCCACTGCAGGAATCTGCAGAGTGAAGTAATGGGTATGTCTGAATCTATCTATCTGTGTTTTGTTTTTTTTTTTTTTTTTTTGACAGGCAGAGTGGACAGTGAGAGACAGAGAGAAAGGTCTTCCTTTGCCGTTGGTTCACCCTCCAAAGGCCACCACGGCCGGCGCACCGCGCTGATCCGATGGCAGGAGCCAGGTGCTTCTCTTGGTCTCCCATGGGGTGCAGGGCCCAAGCACTTGGGCCATCCTCCACTGCACTCCCTGGCCACAGCAGAGAGCTGGCCTGGAAGAGGGCAACCGGGACAGAATCCGGCGCCCCGACCGGGACTAGAATCTGGTGTGCCGGCACCGCAAGGCGGAGGATTAGGCTAGTGAGCCGCGACGCAGGCCACGTGTGTCTTTAAAATGGATGAGAAAAAGCAAATATAAAAGAAAACATTTCGGCTAATAAGTACTAGCATTGACTCTCTCTGGTCCTATTCCTCTCATTTCCAAAGGCAACCTTGCCCTACAACCGGGGTGAATTATTCCCATCTAAACACATCACACGTCTGTATTAGAAAGGCTTAAAAATGCTCATGTCATTCTAGAAGTATTATATAGTGTTTTACACTCCTATTTTGTATGCATCCGTTGAGTGCCTTTATGTTAACTGACTGAGCTCCCCATGCAAGCAAATGTCCTATGATTTCTCCATTGCACTCTCTTATCACAGCAACTTGGGCTAAAGCAGAGATTCTTTGTGCTCAAATATTTCAATCTTTCACATTAGGATTTGTGGTTCTAATGCTCATTGTCCTACTTAAGGAATCACATCCTTCCCTGAGGTGATAAGACTGTTTTTCTCTGTTTTCTTCTGAAAGAAAAGTGTGTGTATGGGTGATCATATAATCTATCCTCAGTTTTTTTTAATATATAATTTATGAAACAAGGATGCAATCTGAACTTTTTCCTTACAGATAGCCAACTTCACAACTAGATTCCAGCTACAACCCACTCATTCCTTACCACTACTCTTCTGTCATGGACCAAGTTTCTGCATGAATTTGTCGTTGGTCGCTGGGCCTTCTAATCTCTTCCATGGATTTTTTTTTTTTTTTTTTTTTGACAGGCAGAGTTAGACAGTGAGAGAGACAGAGAGAAAGGTCTTCCTTTTTCCATTGGTTCACCCCCCAAGTGGCCGCTACCGCAGGCGCGTTGCAGCTGGCGCGCTGCGCCAATCCGAAGCCAGGAGCCAGGTGCTTCTCCTGGTCTCCCATGCGGGTGCAGGGCCCAAGCACTTGGGCCATCCTCCATGCACTCCCTGGCCACAGCAGAGAGCTGGCCTGGAAGAGGAGCAACTGGGACAGAATCCGGCGCCCCGACCGGGACTAGAACCTGGTGTGCCGGTGCCTCAGGCGGATGATTAGCCTAGTGGCCCCATGGATTTATTTTCCTGTTATAAACAAGACCACATT